CATCAGACGTAATTAAATAAAAATAAAAATAAGGATAGAATAATGCAGCTTACATAACGTGTAATTATAATTGCAATCAAATGGTGTTACGAATCATGTGTATTATTGCACGCATTCTTTATCGTTCACTTACGTCACTATAAATTTCCGTGATTAATTACAGTAATTATACTCATGGAATTGAATGCAAAATTAAAAATTCAATATATTATTATATCACTATAAATTTCCGTGATTAATTACAGTAATTATACATACAGAATTGAATATAAAATTAAAAATTCAATATATTATAATCTAATATATTATAAATCTAATTTCAACAGAATTCAAAAAGATTGTAAAGGGTAGATGTTAATTGAATTAGACTCTCACTTGAAATGAAATCATTTTTTTTTAATCGATAAAAAATTTTAACTGAAACTTTCGATACAATCAGGATTTGGATCACAGACTGATGTTCATTTCTACGTAAATATTAACTTTCATTACGATTTAAATTACTCTTTATCTTTTTCTAATTTTTATGAATTAAAAAAAGATAAAAGTAAGTTAAAGCAAGATTAATTTTTTTCGATTTTTCTTCTTAGAAGTGGAAAAAGATAAAAAGTAAATTAAAAACAAAATTAAAGTTCATTCTTTTTTACGTACGAAAATTGAAATAATAAAATTTATATCTCGCATTTTAACAACTTGCGGTTGATTCCTTACGGCCTTGTTTATATACTTTCTTATTTACGTATTCTTTTTTAATTTTTTGCTTCTTAGAACTAAAAAAAATAAAAAATAAGTTAAAACAAAATTAAAGCTAATCTATTTACATTAATGACGAGAATCGATGCAAGCACGGAAAAAAAATTAATTGGGTGGTATAACAAATCTATAATTTATTACGCAAATTAAACATTGATAGCTAAAAAGATTTGATGATTTAACAAATCGCTAATGTTATTCAGCTGTCAACTTTGCTATTTTAACATAGAAAATAGACTGTCTGTATATTGTAGTTGTGTTAACTGTAGATTCACTGAAGTTTTCAACTGTGTTTTTTTTCCGTGAGGGAAAACCGCGAGCCACGCGTCTTTACATCCTTCGCGAGTGAAATCTTGGCGCGGGAGTATCATCGATGATTCATCACCAGTGCATCACGTCGATGTGCATACGAATACATTGGGCTGTTATGTAAGCGCTGTCGCGCGCGGCTTCTCTGGCTTCATCCGAGTGATTTATCAAATATTGGTACTCGGAAGGATAGTGACAGGGTCGCGAACTTTCCGACGTCGGCGATTATTTTGACCGACTAGAAATGAACTACTGATCGATAGTTTCCGTTCGAATCACCTACTCTCTCGCACTTTCCACATTTGGAAAGTATAAAATAGCGAGCGTAGATTATACGTGGATTTCCGCGCCGACAGGAAAAGGCGAGAATTGGAGCACTAAGAAAGCGGAACACCAAAGCGAACCAAACTGGACGTCTTTTGTTCAATTGATTCTTTGGATAATCTGTTAAAAAAGATATTTTTTTGAATTATAATTTCTAAATTACGTAAGAATAGCAACTGCAAAATTGACAGATATTCTATCACGGTACATCGTCGCGTGACCAACATTCAAGTGATTATACGATAGTTTTTGTTAAATTAAACGCAATTTTATCCGCATTTTAACTCACTTGCATTTTTAGCTTCACATGTGTTTAGCAAGCTGCTTATTCATTTTCGATTAGTGTTCGAAAAAATAGAAAAAAAAAAGTAATAAAATTGAATGACTCTTCATAAAAACAATTCTCGTAAATGTTAAACTGAAGATTGAAGACTGCGGTGCTTTCAGTATATGTGCACTTAATGGAATAGCTTGTTCCGCTTATTCTGCGTGACGTGAATTTGCGATATATAATATTGTCAACATGCGCCAGAATTATCCTCTTGATAGCTCAATCATTCGGATACGTCGCAATGAAATTGTACGACAAAATCTTCAAGGGTATCGAGAAGATCGCGAACTCGAGGTCAGGTTCTTCTCTAGAAAATTAATGAAGTTTCTTTAATTGTCAGCTTAAAAAATAATGAGATAACGTGTAAACGAAGATTGATTAAATTGAAGAAAGGAAACATGAAGAACTTTGAAAACATCCATTTTTTTCTTCATTTTGATTTTTTTTCACGCTATAATCATACAATGTTGAAAATTTGCTTTTGATGTTACGTCTTTAATGCTCGTGCCAAGATATGTAATAAACATCCACCTATATAATATACTTCCGTATACCAGTATCTATGCGAACAATTATCCGTTCTCTCAGCGCGTTTGAAAGCAAACACGTTTGATGCACGAATATCACGCCCGTCCGGTGTATCTATACCGAATACCACGAATTTCTCATCAGCTGAACATATTACTTATAGATAATACTAGAGATAATGTTGTACTCATTGTAGCATAAATAACATTATAAATCTCGTTATTAACACTATCGAGATTGAAAAATGCCGGATCATAATTACGTGTATAATCGTATTTCAACATAACAATTTTTTTTTATTATGTCAGCTGTCTAAGTCTAAGGTACCTATTATGGAACATGTCGGAATTAATTCTAATCGAAATTATTCCGTTTTTCCTAGAAAAACACAATCGAAATCTAGAAAATACCCAGGAAAAAATGTTATATATATGAACATATTTTATATATAATTACAAATAAAAAATATGGCAATTTTTTTACATATATAATTTATATATAAAACATTTTTTTCCCGGATAATTGTATAATTCCGATCGGAATCTATTCCGACTTGTTCTATGCTCGGGACCGGGTATTTTTAGCTTGAAATTGAAATGTCGGTATTCATGCCTATTACCGTTCCTACTTTATTGCTGTTTTATCGTAGCGCGCGACGTTCGGACTCAGGTCTGAAAGCGTTAAAAGTTTTGGACCTGTGTCATTCATAAAAGTATTCTGTTTAAAAGTATTCTGTTATATATACAATATTATAAAATATTATTATCCATAATCATTTCAATTCAATCTAACGAGCGTGTTGGAGTGAGCTGTGATAGGAGCATATTGTGGAGCATGTTGAAGCATGCGACGCGAACAACATAGAATCTCTATTATATCAAACGTTGCTGCAGGTTTCTGTGCCATGTGAGTGGCGCTATATGTAGACCAGACCGCGTGCGTAGTGTGTATCTACAATGCAGGATTGGGTAGTAACTAGTTAAAACGTTAAAAGTTAAAAAAAAAGTTAATAACTTTTAACTTAACTTAGTTAATTTTAAATGCATTAAATTTTAATTTAACTAAGTTACTTTTAAACGTTAACTTTTTTTTGATTTTTAACGTTTCAACTAGTTACTAGTTAAACAATTTTTTTATCTCTTTTAAATATCTTAGAAAAATAATAAGATATAATAAGACTAAGGGCATATATTCGTATTCTGTTCATATTTTAAGACCATCTTAAGTAATTTCTTAAGATATTAATATAGCCCTCTGATTGGTTTATGCGGTTATGCCATAAGCCTTAGTCCGGATTTTATAATAGGTGTTTTAAGCCTCAAGTCATAAGAAATTGACCAACACACAGTCAAATATTCTTCTCGCATTCGAATTGGTCAATTTCTTATGGCTTAAGACTTATTAAAAAATAATCACTGATCTTGTGTCTTCTCTATGTGCTGGTTGTTTTTTTTTTAAGTTATATATAACTTATATAACTTATATAGTTACATTATGTGTTATATACTTATATCACATATGAATAAAAAAATAAAAAATTTAATTTACTTAATAATCTATATTGTAGTTATTTAATCTCATTTTAAGAAAAATTAGGACATTTTGATCTAAAAAATAATTTTTTTCAAAATTAATTTTTTTTTTAATTAAATTAATTCAATATTGACTTAACTTACGTTAAGTTAATTTTTTATTCCTTCAACTTTTAACTTTATTCAGTTAAAAAAAACATTAACTTACCCAACCCTGCTACAATGTCATGTATATGCGCGATCATGAAACCATAAAGTTACCTAGAAGGAACGCGATCTAGTTTAGTTCGATTGACAATGCGTTTTCGATTACAAGTATCGAATGCATACAAGCATCGTTGCATGTATTTCGGGCAGTCGCGACTCCAAAAATCATGGCGTGCGCGAAATTCGAATGTTTCCCTCGTTTCGGAAACAATCGAATAAGAAGCTGGACATGTATTGTCAAAATTATTTTTATTTTCTTTAAAGAAAAGAAGCATGAAAGAGAACATCAGGCAACACAGAATAAAAATATTGAACAATTCCGAATGGTTTCATAATACATGCTCGGATAAACGAAAATCTCCGAATAAATCCGGACATTACATTGATTACATAATGACTCCTCCTTCCCCCCTTCGCGGAGAGCGCAAGTGACGTCCCATGTTCCATCAAATAAAATTCGGGAAAGAGAGCGCGAATATGATCAGAGTCGTTCAACGTAAATTATAGCGGTAGGTCGGCGCGTCTCATGTCATTGCACGTCATTGTCTCGCCGTAATCATTCTCGAAGGCACGTCGCCGTCTCGCGAGATGTAAGACGTGAGTCAGGGTGATATCGGTCGGTGATGATCACGACCGCATCGTCAGCGGTGCTTATCTACGTACTTTGGCATGATGTAGCTGGTAGCATACCATAGTATACACTGGAGCATACTATAAACTCTACACGTGTATACCTACTCCGCTACGCGCGGCGGAGACGCGGCGGATTCAGTGTGGTGCCTCCGAGCGTGAATTCGCTCGCTTGCACGCATACTCGCGGCTCGTTCGGGTCGGCTAACCAGTCGGTCGGTCGGTCAGTCAGGCAAGAAAACCAATCACGGGAGCGTCAGTCAACAATCGAACACGCGGCAGTGAACATTGCCGAAATGGAAACTCGCGTCGACGGGCGAATGACAGCGATGGTGATGACAGAGACGGCCGTTATGTCCACGGCCAATGACGACGACGAGCGCCGACGAGGATCGATCGCCGTCACATGGAGTCGCTGCAAAAAGCTGCTGCTCGATTTTCACTTCAACTCCGATCGGATATTTTATTGGTGAGTGCGCGAAAGTGCTGGACCATTTCCTTTTCCCCTGTCCACCTTCCCCCCTTCGTCGGTTGTCGGTTCCGCGCCAACCGGAAGAGCCTGGATGCGCAATAGCGCAATGAGAGGGAGGGGAATCGCCGTTCGATTCTATCGCTCTCGATTCCCGGCAATTCCCGGTGAGTCCCAGTTGCATTCAATTGTATGAGAATTCGCTCTTGTTTATTGTCACGTTCCGTCTGTGGGTCTTCTTGGCAAACTTCGAGTTTGGCCGCAGCTGTTTTCTGTTGGTATATTTATATATATATATATTTTACAATCGTAACGTATTCCGCTCTTTTTTTCCGTCTTTTTCGAGCACGTTTTTGTTGCATCGATAGTACGATTTGGATGTCTCAAATTGGATAAATAAGCGATCACACGGCGCAATCGCAAAAAGAACGAACTCTCGAAATAGTCTCACTCGAATGCATGTATTTAACGAAAGTCAGGTTCGGTTGTTTACACTTTGCTGCACTTTTCACGGTTGAAACGAAACAGCTGTATAAAATATGTGGGATGGCAATGAAGTTCGATGAATGAAGGAAGATAAACATCAATCAAACAGAATCACGACAAATGATATTAAAATGAATCGGAAATGATTGAAAAATGACTTTTAATGATCATTTTGATATCATAGTAATTTGTTGTTCTGCTTGAGTCACTTAATATACAAATTACTTTTATTATCCTTCAAACTAATCCCTTCTAAAGACAATACATTTCTGACAATGTTCATATAGCTTGCACAAACTCTGTGAAAAGTCAGGATATTGCCTTAAGTTTTGTTATCACAATCTCAAGTCATAATGTTATAAAGACATCATCATCACCTTAGTTGTTGTAAAATTATTTTTAAGAATCAACTAACATCATAATGATATTATGACTTATGACATCATTATGATTAATTATGATTCTTTCTGAATTCTATCTGGAGTTCTAATTCAAAATATATATACACTGAAAATATATACACTGAAAAATATATACACTGAAAAAAAAATATAAATTTTATTAATTGTTTGCATAGTACTAATGTAACATTTATTTACGGAAAATAAATATTTGCCAAATAAAAAATAGTAATAATTAAGTCACAAATTAATGATTCTTGTATCAAATAAATATTCAGTTAGTAACGTGACTTCTTACTAACATGATCTTCTTACTAACATGATCTTCTTACTAACATGATGCTTGCTGAGTATACATTCCTAAGTACGTGCTCCTACTAGAATTGTAGCAACTGAGTTCGCATTTATTAGCAACTCGATGCCTTCGATGTGACACCTTTGAGTAGCAACTTGCCAGCAATTTGCCGACAATTGTAAAATTTTTATCATCAAAATTCGTACTATTGCCGTTATATTGTCGATATAATATATAGAATCATATAGTGCTGTTATATTGATGACAACGCAAGGTAATGGCTGCGTTCAGAAAAAATTAATCAGTTAGTGCTTAATGGTTGATTCTTACCTTTAGTTCTTCGCTAAAGCTAAATGTAGGAACCAATCGTATTAAAGAATTACTAAGCATTAACTGATTAGTTTTCTCTGCTGAACGCAGCCATTATGATGCAGCTATCTTGTCATTAAACTGCTGACAATACGTATGCACATTATTGCCATTACGTTATTAGAATATCGATAAATCATTGAAGATAAATCTACGGCAAGTAGATATAAGGAATTACAAATTTGTGCCATTTTACTGAGACACGCTTTGCTGTTAACATTTAATAAATATTCAATTGGCACTATTTAAACAAATAGTTACCAAAAAAGACATTTTTCTCTTAGTCGACGATTCTTAGGTTTATTCGCATCACATTCTTCAACGTTCACGTTAAAGTAGGTGTTATGATAAGAACATTTTGGTAAGAACATATTGGAACACATAATTGGAACAAATTTGCGACGCGAACAAATTTTTAGAATCAACATTGCATTACTATTTTGTACCATTCTCTCGGGAGTGGTTCACTCGCACACTGCTCACAATTATAATTGTCCACTGCCAATCACAGCGACTTCTGCATAGAGAGCTTTTTTAATTTTTTTTTTAGCGCTGTGATTGGCTTGTATGCAATTGGTTCGTGTGCAATTATACATTCCATTCTTTCTATAATCTCACTTCTTTTTGGAGTTGATTTCACTTTCTTGGAATGAAATTTCATTCAAAAAGAGTGAAAATTATTACTCTTTTTTAAGAAGTGAAATATTTTCACTCTTCTCCAATAATGGTTGTATTTTTACTCTCTATAATAAGGCTCGATTGCACCAACATTATTTTGATTTTAAGTGGCTTAAAACTCTCTTTATCTCTGTCTTCTTTTTTTAACTTTAAAACAGAGAGAGTGTTAAGTCTCGCTTAAAGGTAACATTGGCCTTAGACTAAGATTTCATTCCAAGAAATTTAGAGAGATATTCTTTCGATCTTGTGTTTCCTAATTAATTAAAAGCGATGAAAGGGACTCGATTCACAAACATTTCGAAATCGTGAGATAACAAGACTAATTAAGACGATATCCAAAGATTTTTTACAGAGTTTCAAGCTGTTTGAACGCTATTAGAAGTGTATTGTTTCTAGAAGGGATTACTTTGAAGGACAAAAAAGTCATTTATATATTAATTAAAATGCTTATTTTCTCATAACATTCCCCGAATTTTACTGCCACACCGCGTATAATGTGTGTGTGTGTGTGTGTGTGTGTGTGTGTGTGTGTGTGTGTGTGTGTGTGTGTGTGTGTGTGTGTGTGTGTGTAAATCTCCACGAAAAAAAAGAAGAATTTAAGAGACGGAGTGCAGAGGATGCAAGTAATGCGAAAACGAGTGAGACAACAAGAGCGTCCTTTTGTCTCTTACATTTACTTACAGATGTCGAGATGTTTGTAATTGATAATTCGATTCGTTGAAAAGATAGGGAAAAATCGAAGACGTTGAAAAAACAAATCGAAAAAATAGACCGCTGTCAGATCGAAAATAAGAATCACATGAATAACGAATAATGCTAATTAGTCAGATGAATCGGCCAGATATAAGCCTGGAACGTCTCATATATTAAATACAGCTCCACAGCTATAATGCGGGCAGAAAAGCATAATTTAGATTTTTAAACACATTTCAGATTCATGAAATACATTTTTACGAAATAATATCTATCGTCTATTCTCATGTTTTTGTAGCTCTTGTATCGCTTACATGTCATGCATTTATAAGCGCCTGTTCTATTTAGAAAAACAAAGAGAGAAGTTGAACTCGTAAAGATATTGAAAATCGAAGACTTTGTTAAAGAGACAAGTCATTGTCATATTAGAGACAAGAATTGCATGAATAACAAATGATGCTAGTCAGATGGATTAGATATTAGCCTACAGCAATATCTTACATATGTATATTACATCTTTACTATTGTAATGCAGGCAGAAGAGAAGAACTTAGATCTTAACTTAGATTTTAGATTCATGAATCACATTTGTACAAAATAATCTATTATCTATAACTTATGTTTTTGTGATCTACGTGCTAGACGTGTGATTCCTGCATCGTTTAAACGCATCTAACGCATTCTCCTTGAGAGAACAAAGCAAATAAATTAACTCAGGATGGTGTGAATCTGTGTATATAGCTCATATATTTTGATGCATATATGTCAGAATTAATTGCGAATTAATACATTGAGACACGTATCATCATTTATCATCTTCCATATCGCGTCACTGATGATTCACGCCGGACTTTCCGTTTATTTTGGCTATGAAAAAAAAAGATATAAATTATAAAATAATTTTATCATATATGGATATATAATTATACGTGTATGGTGTTTAATGCAATATTGATACATTAAATTTGATACTTTTTCTTCTAATTTTTGTAATTTTTTTAACCACTATGAAATAATATTTAGCAAATAAAGTAACCGTAAACTAAAGTACTATAAGAATCATGCAGTGCAGTCAACTCACTAAATAGGAATATATAAATATGTATTTTTTATGACGTTAAAGGAATACATAAGTCCTTAGTACTTACAAAAATTTTTTGTTATTGACACATAAATAAAATACAACTATGAAAAATAAGATTGCGAAATAAAATTATTCCAAATCATTACGCTATCTTAAAATTAAGAAAATTATATAAGTTCTTAGAACTTATATGTTCCAAGGCATCTATCTCTCATGAAATAAATCGCTGAATGGATTCCGATCGGAATTATTCATTTTTCCTAGAAAACGTAGTAGAAATCTAGAAAATAATAGAATTCCGATTAGAAACTATTCCGAATAATTAAATATAATACATACCTAATGACGGGCCAAAGTTAGCGTGTTAAAAATATCAAAATGCATATTAATGTAATATAATGTTACATCGCTAATATCTTTACGTATTGCTAATATTTAAATTGCTATTCCTAATATTCATACTTGTTATTACACGTCATACTTGTTATTACGTCACCTTTATTTTCTGTCTACGAGGGATTGACAAAGAACAAACGCGATCAGTCACGAGATAGATTAGACTGATCAAAGGGAGAGGCCTTCGGGAAGAATCGTAGAGAGACCTTGAGACATTTCAAGATCTTCTTAAAACCTTTGTTAATTCCCCTAATCTCTAATTCCCAACGCATGTTATATTTTTCCTTTATAATAAATATAACAAACCTTCGTTAGTATTTATATTTCCCAGACAATACGCATGTCTAAAAGACATCATAAAGGCATATGTTAGAACATACATATCTACTCTTTCACTTTTTTTCAAGATTGGTTTTCATTTTTTTAAGTGAGAGTCCATTTCAAAGAATTTAAAAACTAAAAGATATCTGAAAGACATCATAAAGAGATCCTCTAGACAATGTATGTTGTCTGAGTTGCTGATAGATTTTATCTAATGTTTATCTAATGTTTTATCTGATAATGATTTCTGTAACATTGTATTAAATCGGAAATGAATAAAATAACCGTTTTGTACATTAGATACGTGGCAAGACGGAAGAAAAACGTGATATCTTAATTTTATATGAGAGAAAGACATGAACATAATTGCTGTTATCAAAAAAACATGCGCTATTATCAAAAATAAACACAAACATTACAAGAGATAGCCCTCAATATAAGTATACTACTTACTTACTCTTGTCGATTTGCTTTTCCGAAAAAAGAAAAAGTATGTAGTAGAAATGCATCCGATGCATAATATTAAAATGCATTAATAATTTTTTCGCACAATCACATGCATGTTTATTTCGAAGAGTTGTACTATCTCTCATGAATACACCATCATCGATTTCTAAATCAATCAGATGCGATTCTAAAATTCTTATCTTTATCATTATCTACTATTTGGAGGAAAAACAAAGAAAAAATCAGGTCCAAATGTTCGTCAAAGTATTTGTCTTTATATTATAAAAATGATCATATTTTTTAATATGGATAATGCTTATTACATATCTCGATGCATTTGACGTTTATGCTGTTTAAAAAGAAATTCTTTCAATTTAAAATCGCATCCAATATATTATGCGACTGTCGAAATTCGAGTTGCTCATCCGCTTTTTGCAATACCGTAAATCTATTTTGCGAGTCACATACATCAAGATAATCATTCCTAGATGAGAGAAATAGATGACGAGATATCGTTGTGTGTATTAACTTGGGTTAGCGCGGGTTTCAGCTAATTTTCGCAATGTCGCAGCGAGATCGTACGATTCATTAGCAATCGAGTAAAATCCACGAGAATGTTATGGAAATAGATTTCATGCGAGCACTCGCCTTGTAAAAAATATGACTTGCAAATTCTTTAAAAATCTCTTTCAGGGGGGGAGGGGAAGGGGGGAGATTCTTGGAATCTAAATCTCTTTAGCTCTCACTAACACTGACAAAATTACTCTAAAGTTTTTCTAGTAGCAATCACAGCATCAAGCAATTGAGTACTAAAATGTCAAAATTATGTAACAGAATATATGTGTATAATTATACTATAAATAGTTTACGCTTTTGTGCAAGAGACATAAGACGGTTTTCAGGATACCTAATTTTCGACGCTGAATCCGAATCTGCAATTGAAATATTTTCATTAAATCTGATTTTTAAGATATAAAAAAAGACTATATTTTTTCTAATATATAATGAAGTTTTATTTAATGAAATTAGAAAATAAATTAGTAATTGAACGTTTAATTTTTGTTCTTTATATGATTTTAAATTGATTTCATACATATAGATTGATATATTAGCAACCTTAGCATGTCTTCGTATCCAATATCTATAACATTTCTCAAATTTTGATCATCATCAAATTTTGATAGAAATATTTGCTTACCTTATCTCATTTATCGCACACAAATTATTCAAAAAGAAATTAAAACTTTAGCATATATGTTTTAAATTTGATCTGATAAAATTTTTCCGGTAATATATTTGAACTCAGCGCTTCAAATACTTTTAATAAAAATTATTTTTTTGGACTAAAAATTATTTAAAATTTGTGAATCCTAGTGCTATTAAACGTATAAAAATAAATTAGTTATAAATAACGTTAAAAATTTGGCGAGTATTTCTCGAACGAAGTTATTTTATGATACTTAAATTTTATTAATTTTCATATAAATTCTATGTTTTTTAGAAGTTAATTTTTTAATAATTTTATCGAAAATACTGTATAATATTAATTGCTCTCGATAACTATCTTCGAAATATATATATATATA